ATTTTTGTTAATATTATTGGTAATATATTATTGTCTAATTTTTGGTAGATATTATAGATTAAGTTATTCTAGATTCTCATTGATTTGATTTTTGGTTATTACTAGTGGTGCCAGTTATGCTTTATTGTTTAGTGGTTGGGGGAGTTATAGTAGTTACTCGTTTTTTGGTGCTATGCGTTCTGCTTTTAGTTCTGTTAGGTTTGAAGCTTGTTTTATGTGTATAGTAATATTTTGTGCATTATGTTATGGTAGATATTGTTTGTGTGCTTGTTATTATTCTAATATTGTATCTTTTATGTTGTTTCCTTTATTATATATACTGTTCTTGATTTGTATTTTATGTGAAACTAATCGTACTCCATTTGATTATTCTGAGTCTGAGAGGGAGTTGGTTAGTGGGTTTAATACTGAGTATAGTGGTATCTTTTTCACTTGTTTGTTTGCGTGTGAGTATATAGTTATTTTTATATTTTCTTGATTAGGTTCGTTAGTTATGGTTGGTGGTGGAATTTTAGGGTTTGTTTTATTATTTTTTCATTTATTGTTTTTTATGTGAGCTCGTGCTACATTACCTCGAATACGTTATGATTGTTTTGTAAATTTTTTTTGGTCTATTGCTTTGCCATTATTGATTATTAGGTTTTTTTTTATTGTAAAATAGTATTTTGTCTACATAGATTATATTATAAATCATGATGCTGTTAACTTCAAAAAGAAAATTTTTCTGTAGTCGTTATATTGTTATTTGTTTACTAACTTTAGTTTAATAAGAATTGTGACTTTGGGAGTCATTGGTCTCTGTAAGAGAAGTTTGGCCAATAGGGCTGCTTTAGCAGGTTACTTTGATATAGTAAATTGTAAATTATTTGTTTCGTTGGTATCTGTATATCTAAGTTTAAGAGTTAGGTTCTTACCCTATTAATGTGTTATGCACTGCAGGTCTATGGTTGTGTTATTATATAGATTGCTTATATTCTTTTGTTTGTCTTTGGTTATTTACTTTTTTACTAGAAGTTTATTTAATCAGAATAATAAAGTTAATATTTTGTGAGCTAGTCCTTATGAATGTGGGTTTAGGCCTAGTTCTTTAAGATTTAAATGTTTTAGTTTTACTTATTTTTCTTTATTAGTATTTTTTGTTATATTTGATTTGGAAATATCTTTATTATTGAATATGCCTGAGCAAGGTTTATTATATAATAAATTTTATTATTATTTTTTTTTTATAAGTATATTAGTAGTTGGTTTTTTATTAGAGTTATTTTTGGGTTATGTTCGTTGGGGTTATTAGTATTGAAGAAACTTGTAAAATTACTGCTAATAATTTTTTGTTAGTTTATATCTAACTTTCTTCTAATAATTGATAAGATTAAGTTATTTAGACTGAATATTTTCAAAATATTTAGAGATTATGTGTTATCATCTTATGATTATGAGTATTTCTAATATATATTGTTGGATTTTTACATTAGACCATAAGCGTATAGGTATAATTTATACATTATTAGGTATTTGATCTGGTTTTGTTGGTTTAAGTTTTAGTTTAATGATTCGGATAAAATTTTTAGAGCCATATTATAAAGTTATTCCGTTAGATTGTTATAAATTTTTAGTTACTAATCATGGTATAATAATGATTTTTTTCTTCTTAATGCCTATATTAATCGGGGGGTTTGGTAATTATTTATTACCAATATTAGGTGGTTTGTCTGATTTAAATTTACCTCGTTTGAATGCTTTGAGTGCATGATTGTTGATTCCATCGTTGACTTTTTTGATTATTAGTATGTGGTTGGGTGCTGGAGTTGGATGAACTTTTTATCCACCTTTATCTTCGTCTTTATTTATGAGTAGAAAGGGTGTTGATTTTCTTATGTTTTCTTTACATTTAGCTGGTGTATCTAGAATTTTTAGTTCTATAAATTTTATTTGTACATTATACACTATATTTTGTGATAGGTTATATAGACGAACATCTATTATTTTATGGTCTTATCTTTTTACTTCATTGCTTTTGCTTTTTAGACTTCCTGTTTTAGCTGCTGCTATAACGATGTTGTTGTTTGACCGAAAATTTAGTTCTGCTTTTTTTGATCCATTAGGTGGGGGTGATCCTGTTTTATTTCAACATATGTTTTGGTTTTTTGGTCATCCTGAAGTTTATGTTTTAATATTACCGGGTTTTGGTATTATAGGTCATATATGTTTAAGATTGAGTTTAATTCCTGATGCTTTTGGGTTTTATGGTTTATTATTTGCTATGTTTTCTATAGTGTGCTTAGGTTGTAGTGTGTGGGCTCATCATATGTTTACTGTTGGTTTGGATGTTAAGACGGCTGTATTTTTTAGGTCTGTGACTATGATTATAGGAATACCTACTGGTATTAAGGTATTTACGTGGTTATATATGCTTTTAAACTCTATGGCTAAAAAGAGTGATCCGGTGATATGGTGAATAGTATCATTTATTGTGTTGTTTAGATTTGGTGGTGTGACTGGTATTATTTTGTCAGCTTGTGTTTTGGATAAAGTTTTACATGATACTTGATTTGTGGTTGCTCATTTTCATTATGTGATGTCTTTAGGATCATATATAAGTGTAATTATAATGTTTATTTGATGGTGACCTTTAGTAACTGGTGTTGCATTAAATAAGATTTTATTACAGTGTCAGTGTATTATATCTAATATAGGATTTAAATTATGTTTTTTTCCTATGCATTATTTTGGATTGTGCGGTTTACCGCGTCGTGTGTGTATTTATGAGGTTGATTATAGATGGGTTAATTTAGTTTGTACTGTTGGTTCATTTATGACAGCATTTAGTGCTTGTTTTTTTATATTTATTTTGTGAGAATCGTTAGTAAATAATAATAAGATAGTGGGATTTTATGGTTCTTCTTCATATATATGCAGTTTAGTACGTATGAGCCCAGTTGCATGTCATAATAATTTTTTTACTTATAGTATAAATGTTTGGAATTATAATGAGACTCCAAGTTTTGTTATGGTTATTTAGTTTATTTAAAATTTAGGTTTTGTAGTCCTAAGATAATATGTATTGTTAATAACCAGTATAATTTATTAATTGTTAATATAATATTTTTGGTTTAACTGCCTTTTGCATCATGCTTAATAGAGTGTAAATTGTATAGTTTAAACCGAAAATTTCAGATCTTTCCTGTAATTGTTTAGAATATATGAAATTTAAGTTAATTTTTTTAGATTATAGGTATGTTGTGAAAAGTTAATCGTTGAAGTTTATATCTGTTTGATTATTAATTTCTTCTTTGAATATTTAAGGTTATGATATCTTAAATAAGTTTATATCATTACACTATTAATTTTTATAATAGGGTTAAAAATACCTTATTTTAATAAGTTTGTTGTAATATTTGTTGACTTGTTGTGTGGTTAAATCTAATAATAATCTATGGAATAGTTGGTGTTAAATTATTATTAAATTAGTAATATTATTATGATGTATTATTTCTCAAGTTTTGTCCGTCTGTTTATTAAAAACATTTCCAAATTTAAGTTTATTTGGTAATACCTGCCCCATGCTTATAGTAAATGGCCGCAGTATATTGACTGTGCGAAGGTAGCATAATTAATTGCCTTATAATTGAAGGCTTGTTTGAATGGTTTAACGGGATGAATATAAATATTACATATATAGTTGAATTTATTATTGAGGGCACAGAGACCTCAAAATTTAATTAGACGGAAAGACCCCGGGATCTTTTATTTTTGCCTGGGGCAGGTATTAATGTTTCATTAGTATTTTGACCCTTAATGGTTTATTGGGTTAAGTTACCCCGGGGATAACAGTGTAATAATTAATAAGAGATCATATCGAATTAATTGATTGCCACCTCGATGTTGACTTAGGTAAAAATGTAAACGCAGTAGTTTATAATTTGGGTCTGTTCGACCTTTGTTACCTCCATGAGTTGAGTTAAGACCGGCGTGAGCCAGGTCGGTTCTTATCTATTGTAGTGATTTATTAGTACGAAAGGACCATAAATCTTTTTATTAAGTATGAAGCCAGTTGGTCTTAGTTTTGCAAAAACTAATGAGGGCTATGGTAGCCCCATGCTTTAATTCGTTTAATTATGGCGATAGGAAGTGGTTTTACCTTAGCTGCATAAAAGTATTTTTTGTTATTGTAGTTTATACTTTATTATATGTTATTAGCAGTTAATTTTTTATTGGAATAGGTGTTTTTTAAGAAGTTAAAATTTAAAGGGGATAGGACACAGTGCCAGCATCCGCGGTTAATCTGTTTTCTTTGCTTCTTCATAGACTAATATTATGTATTTATATTGAAGCTAGGTGAAATTTTTTTGATTTTATATTTTATTCTTATATAGTAAACAATATTATTTATGACAGGGATTAGATACCCCATTAATATAATATTATAGTTTGTTTTAGTTTTATAACTAAAATAGTTTGGCAGCAAGCGAATCCTTTTAGGGGAATGTGTATAGTAAAGGATGATCCGCCTACTAATTTACTTATATTATGTTGGTGTATATCTGGTTTAATATTATTGCTTTAGTGGCTGAATTTGTGTATAATAAATATTTAAGCCAAGTCTATGTGCTGCTTGTATAAGTTTTTATGCGTTACAGTGATAATGTTAGATTTGTAAAAGTTTATTATTTAGGACTTAAGAGTAATGCAAATTTATTTTGTTTGTGTGAAATAGGTTTAGCTTGGGTACACACCGCCCGTCACCCTCGATAGTTGTTGAGGTAAGTCGTAACAAGGTAACTTTAAATGAATTTGAAGTTAATTACCATAAATAATTTGTTGTGTGGTTGAAATGAAATTATTTTTATTATATTATGATATAGTTTGCTATATATTTGCAGTATGTGTATTTATTGTTTGTTTTGTTTATTTGATGGTTTTTTGAAGAATGAAGAAAGGTGGTAGAATAATGTATGATTCCGAAAAACAGATAGTAGAGCTTGTGTGAACTAGAATTCCTACTATAGTTGTTCTTACTTTGTGTATTTTGAAAGTTAAATTTATAACTAATGATTTAGATTCATTTAGTAGTGAAACTATAAAGATAGTAGGGCATCAGTGGTATTGGGAATATGATACTAGTCAGGGTTCTTTTGAATCTTTTGTTCAATGTGATAAATTTATAGTGGATAAGCCCCTACGGTTAATTCGTGGCCTTCCTTATCATTTTATAGTTACATCTGCAGATGTAATTCATTCTTTTCATATACCTTCACTAAACTTAAAGATGGATGCCATACCTGGTCGGTTGAATAATTTATTTTTTTGTCCAGAGTTATATGGTACTTATATAGGATATTGTGCAGAGTTATGTGGTGTAAATCATGGAATAATGCCAATAGTTGTTGAGGTAGTGGATAATTAGTTTTGTTTTAGTATAGTATTATTATATTGGCTTTTCGTGCCGATGAGAATCAGTTATTGATTAAACAAAGTTTATGGGATGTATTTCGGTATTATTGGGTCTATATTTTTTTATTTTAATTTTGTTTTCATTAATTAGACACCCTGTTTATTATTGTGGTTTTTTAGTTATTAACTCTTTAATTAGGGGTTTAATTTGCTATTATATTTTTGGGTTTAGTTGATATTCATTAATATTTTGCTTAATATACATAGGAGGAGTTTATATATTATTTGTATTTGTATCTGTTCATAGGCCGAATAATAGATTTAACATTTATATTAGAGTAAAAGAAGTTTTTATTGTTTTGTGTATGTTTATATTTTTTGTATTTGGGTCAATTTTATTATATAGTTCATTATTTGTAGAATTTAGAAAATATTTATGTACTTTATTTGAAGGTAATTTTTATATAATCATGTGTTTAACTTTACTATTTGGCTTTGCTTTATTAAGAGTTGTAATGAGCATAAAGTTTAATTATTATCGATAGCTCTGATTTAACATATATTTAATGTGAGAGATTGTAAATCTCTTTAAAGTAAAATTGCTAATCAGGAAATTAATATTATTATATTATATAAACAAATATAAATATAGGTAAATAACATATTTAAGTTAATGGTTTAGTAAGGCACTTTTAAGAGATTTGTTTTTATTAATGAATAATTGTAAGTTGTTTTACAAAAATAAAATAAAATTGTGCTTAATAAAGTTGTATGCTAATAAAATAAAATTTGATTTGAAATCAAATTAATTGTTTTTATAAAACAATATTAGCTAAGTGATTAAACAAGAATGCCAGATATTTATGGGACTGAATTAGGATCATTTTATGACTCATATGTCTTCTTGTATTTTAAGTATAGCTATGTCAGAATTATATGAGTTAGCTTTAAGCGTTAATTATGGGTTTACCCTAGCTATACAACATATAAAGTATATCCTATGTTACGGCCATAGAGTAGACAACAGTTTTGTCGTATGTTTAAATGAGTGTTGGTTTATTATTTATGTTAGTTAGAGTTATTTGTGTATCAATGATTTTATTTTATGTGATTAGATATGAGGTTAACGTTATGTTTTTATCGTTTAGCGGTAAATATTTTAAATTGGGAGCTAATATAGATTTTGTCTCCATATTTGCTATTTTAATGTTATTGATATGTTTTACTTATGTTTTAAGCTATTCTAAGCATTATTTTGATGGAGACAAAATCTATATCGATTTAAATAAGATTATTTGTATATTTGTAGGAGTTATGTCGTCATTAATATTAACAGGTGATTTTTTGTCTACGTTAATCTTTTGAGAATATCTAGGTGTGGTGAGATTCTTTTTAATTTTATTTTATAGAAGTTACTTATCTTTGCGTTCTTCTATTATAACTCTAGTATCATCTCGTTTTGGGGATGTTAGTCTATTTATGTTAATTATGATTAGCAGGGGATTTTTGATTAATATACATATTCCATTGATATTAATATTTTTATTTATTATATTGACAAAGAGAGCTAGATTCCCATTTATTAGTTGGTTATTAGAAGCAATGCGTGCGCCAACTCCAATTAGATCTTTGGTGCATTCGTCTACTTTAGTAGCTGCCGGGGTTTGGTTTTCTATGCGTTATGATTTTTTACTTTACTTTGATAACATTTTGTTACTTAGATTACTTTTGTTATTAACTATATTTATTTCTGGTGTAAGTTGTTTTTTCTTTATAGATTTAAAGAAGATAGTGGCTCTATCAACTTGTAATAATGTATCATGATGTGTATTATATTTAATATTTGGAGATACTATTTTATCACTATTTCAATTAATTAGCCATGGTGTATCAAAGTGTATGTTATTTATGTTAGTTGGTGATGTAATGAGAGGTTCTAGAGGGTCCCAGTCTAGTAAATGTGTTTATAAATGTTACTTATATGGCAATTGGGGTATTTTTAGTTTATTCTCTATTATATTAGGTTTATCTGGTGCCCCATTTATTGGGGTATTTTTTACAAAGCATTTGTTATTAACTAATATCATGAATGTAAATAAAGTAATTTTATCAATAGTTATATTGATGTGTGTATTTATCTCTTATTTTTATTCTTTTCGATTTTGTTCTATATTATTAAAAACTTTATCTAGGAGAGTAGTTGGTGTAATGTACTGTTTTAAAAGCGGGTTAATTATATATTTTTGATTATTTATAAAATTTTTATTATCTTTTATATTAGATGAAGTTGCTTCTAATGGTATAGTTGTAAGTACTAGCTTGATTATGTTTCAGATTATATCTTGTTTTACAGCATATGTTATGTATAAAAGTAATATATTAGTTAATTGGAGAAGTAGTTTGTTTGGATCAGATTCTATAGTAGAGTCTTTCTATTATACATTTGCTAATTGTATTAATATTTGTTCAACTTTTTTTTATCGTTGGGATAAATTTTCTTTAAATCTTTTCAAAAAGAATTGTGTTAGAAGGTTAAGTATTTACACATCAAAAAATTTAAATATAATTATGATTAGAATATTTTTATTTTTAATGTGTTATTGTATAGTATATAAATAAGAAGAGATTTTGTT